AAGGAGAGAAAATCGTCCGAATCCTCCTGGAAGCTGGTTTTGCCACCAAGAAAAGTGAAAGGACCTGCTTGAGAGATCCAGCTCCTGGGAGTGAAGTGGCAAGATGGACAACGTCAGATTCCTACAGATGTCATCAACAAGATCACAGCTATGTCCCCACCAACCAACAAGAAGGAGAAGGTGGATCAAGCCAGCTTGCTGAACTCAAAGCCATTCAACTGGCCCTAGACATTGCAGAAAAGGAGAAGTGGCCAAAGCTCTACCTCTACACTGATTCATGGATGGTAGCCCATGCTCTATGGGGGTGGCAAGAGAGATGGAAAGAGGCTAACTGGCAGCGTAGAGAAAAACCAATTTGGGCTGCTGAAGAGTGGAAAGATACCGCTACCCGGGTAGAGAAGCTACCTGTAAGGGTTTGCCACGTAGATGCCCATGTCTCCAAGAGCAGAGCTAATGAAGAGCAGCAAAACAATCAGCAGGTAGATCAGGCTGCAAAGATAGGGGTATCAAAGATAGACCTCAATTGGGAACACAAGGGAGAGCTGTTCCTAGCATGATGGGCCCGTGATGTCTCAGGCCATCAGGGTAGAAATGCCACCTATAAGTGGGCACGAGACCGAGGGGTGGATCTAACCATGGACAGTATTTCTCAGGTGATCCATGACTGTGAGACGTGTGCTGCAATCAAACAAGCCAACTGGCTGAAGCCCCTATGGTATGGTGGGCGGTGGTCCAAGTACAAGTATGGGGAGGCCTGGCAGATTGACTACATCACGCTGCCCCAGACATGCCAAGGCAAGTGTTATGTGCTACCAATTGTAGAATCCACCACTGGATGGTTGGAAACCTACCCTGTGCCTCATGCTACAGCCCGTAACACCATTCTGGGCCTTGAAAAGCAGGTCCTTTGGAGGCATGGTACCCCTGAGAGGATTGAGTCAGACAATGGGACTCATTTCAAGAATAGCCTTATCAACACCTGGGCTAGGGAACATGGCATTGAGTGGGTGTACCATATCCCCTACCATGCACCAGCTGCAGGCAAAGTGGAGAATTACAATGGACTGTTAAAAACCACCTTAAAAGCATTGGGTGGGGGATCTTTCAAAAATTGGGAGCAAAATTTAGCAAAGGCCACCTGGTTAGTTAACAGCTGAGGTTCCACCAATCGAGCAGGTCCTGCCCAGTCTGAGCCCCTGAATATAGTAGACGGAGATAAAGTCCCAGTGGCACATGTCAGAGGTTTGTTAGAGAAATCAGTGTGGATCAATTCTACCTCGAGTACAGACAAACCCATTCGTGGGATTGTCTTTGCTCAGGGACCAGGTTGTACATGGTGGATAATGCAGAGAGATGGAGCAATGTGTACCTCAGGGAGATCTGATTGTGGGGTGAGACTCATGTGTACAATGTGTACCTCAGGGAGATCTGATTGTGGGGTGAGACTCATGTGCAAATATCACTGTTTGCTGGATGTTACTGCCAGTGCTCTAAATGAAAACACACAGACATGAGACAGAAGGAAATGTGTAAATGTCAAAGGTTTGAGCAAGTGAAATAGAAGGAAATGTGTAAGTGTTGAAGGTTTGAGTAAGTGAGATGGAAGGAAATGTGTATGAGTAAGTGAAAGATGGAAGTTTTTACTTGATGAAGTTTTTACATGATGTTGATGACATGGAGATAAGAGGTGGAATGTCATGGGGTGACGTTATGATGCTGGTGTCCCCAGTTGTGTGTTCTGTTTATGTTTGATATTATGTTCTGTGCTTTCAGAATTGACTCTGAAAGTGAAGGTTTGTTTTGCCTTGTTATCAGCTGGTTCACCTCCTATGGTCTGCTGTCTAGAAGAGGCTAGTGCTGGCTGGCTTGCTTTGCTTTACTTGCTGGCTTTCACTTGCTTTACTTTGCTTGCTTGCTTTTGCTTTTGCCTTTGCTTTTTAGTTAGTTTAGCTAAGCAGTCCAATTCTTTCCCTGGACTGTTTATTTTTCCTTTCCCTTCCCTGAATACCATCCAACCTGCTCCAGACTGGGACCTGGGAAACACCGAGGAACACCGAGAGCCTGCATTTTGTGATCTGCAGCAGCCATCCCCAGTGCCCAGAGCAATCCCCAGTGACCAGACCCAGGCGACCACTCCCAGGAAAGTCTTTCTGGATTTTTCATCTCTTCAGAGTGGTGAAAGAGTTTTGTTGTATTCTGGTGTTTTTCTCCCAAATTTGCCCTAAACTAGGACATAGACCAAAACCTTGGTGTTTTTCTGCTATGCCAGGTGGCATGTGGATGGTTATGTGCCCTCATGCAGCAAAGGCAAAACACTTCTCCCTATTGTTAATTACTGAAGAGAGACTTCAGTTTAAAGTGGACTTTATTTTCCACACAATTTATGGTGTTGTTCCCCAGCAGAAATAAAAGAGACAGCCCAAAGGCAGGTTCCACTCTGAGACACTGAGCAGATGCTGCCTGAACTGATGGCTGCAGGGCACGGGTGTCTGGGCTGTGTGCACTGTGCTGCTAGCCTGTGCAGGGGCTGGAGCTGCTGGAGTCAGGAGCTAAGCCCTCTCCTGCTTGGAAAAGTATTGACGAAAACAATAAAAATGAAGATATATCTCTTAGGGCAAATCTTGAAAGAAAAGTAGGACAGAGTTTTTATTCCTAGAATCCTATCTAAGCTTTAAAATCTCTAGTCTGGTTAGACGCAGTTATTGTGTGACATCCCCAGGTGCTCTGCAGCTATTCATGGGCTTGTTTTCTAACCGCAGGCATTTACTTGAAACAAGAGACTATGCACTTCCTGGGGCCTCAGAACACCCTGTAGGGGCCCCAGAGTGTAGCTGCTCTGCTGTGAGCATGCCGATTGTCTGTACCTAGCACAATTGATTTGGATTAGCTACGCTGCCTCAGTAGGGATGATAATTTGGCAGTCCAAGGTCACTCTTCACATGTGCTTGAATATGAGGAAAAGGCTGTATCTCCTCAGGAAACCACGATGCTTCTTGTGGAGGCCCCAGATAGCCTCCTCAGGGGCAGATGTTCGGAAGTGAAGAGTGTAATACCAGAGTTCCTAACTCTCAAAGACAATGTTTTTTACCTTCCCAACAACTGGGAGTTTGAGTGGGCTTTGCACCTTTCACACAATTTTTCCTCAGATGGAATAGTCTCTGGTCTCATTTTCCATTGCACTGCAGTGGGTTGCAGAGCTGCCTGTGTTCCCTCCTAGGCTTAGCCAGGGCTGGAGCCTTTTCATCCTGCTCATTCAGCACCTCCAGCTTCTCCAGCCCCAGTGGAGCATTAGGACCAGACCCAGCAGAAGAGACTCTGGCTGGGATATCATAGAGAACAAGATCTCATACCAGCTTCCTTCAGCCTGTGCCTGCCGCTGATGACCTGTGTTCACTATGGTTTAAAGCACATCCCTTTTTAACATGAGACAGTTACATTGTAAATCTTCTGTCTTACAGTTAATTTCTTCAGGATCTTGCATTAGTGCCAACAGGTACACAGGTGTAGAAAGACACTTCAGATATTTGATGGCACCTCTGTTTTTCACTTTGCAGCTCAAGAGTTGCACAGATCTATACAAAAACCAACTAACCCTCAGTTTTCCACTACCTTGCTGACTCCCCTCATTTGTGAGTAAGCCACAATTTGTTTTTCTCAGTTTTGGTGGATCACAATGCTAAGTCGCCCACTCTTACTTCACTGGGATATTCTGCCTGTTTGACCTTTTTTTTTTTTTGGTAGTTAGAAACATTTTGGCTTCAGCCTTATGACTGGAAATAGGATAAAAATTGTATTCCTTGAGCAAGAAATACCTATTGCTGAGAGAGGTTTTATCCTGTTAGATCACTGCTCTCATCTACCCATCTGTGACTTTCACTAGTTTAGTTCTTTAAAACTTTCAGCATGTTCAAAATAAAATCAGCTCAAAAATTCTCTCATTCCAAGGTATCCATCAGAAATTATCTATCTTTTCCCTGCTATCCTTCCCCTCTTACACCTCATTTTCTTGTCTTCCACTCTCCCTAATACACAGAGCAAGTACATTAGGGCAAATCTGAGAGAGCAATGGAATGAGGGAGGTAGATGAAAAAGACACTACATTTGCCAGTATCTGGAAGGAATGAAGGAGCTTCATTCTCAGATGTGATTTGATGACAAGAGTCCATGCTACAAAAAGATGCTCTCTGTGTGAGGGCAGTGAGCCGCACAAGCAGAATCCTCAGCAAAAACCTGTCTAGAGATACAGGATCATAAACAGCAAGCAAGGAAGCACTCAATGTTGAGAGAAAATTAAGCAATTATCATGAGATATTTTACAGATTACATGTAAATATACTAGAAAAAATAGTGGGACTTGGCTGGAACACAGTAGAACAGTGAGAAGGGACACATGCTAAAGGAGTTTGTAGGTAGGCACCTGCTCACAGGAGTTGAGGGGGACAGGGGATGGTGCAACCTGATTAATAAATTGATTGAAGATTAGGATTTATGTGGAGGGAAAATAAATTCAGGAGTCACAGCAGGGTTCAAACTAGAACAAGTGTGTGTGTAAGTGTTGGAAAAAGCAAAAACTGGACAGTGATGCATCATAATTTGTGTGAAATAACCACCCACCACAACTGAGATGGTGCATTTGAACTAAGATTACGTGATCAAGTAATAACAGGGTCCAAAAAGCACATATACTGTTAAGACAGTGAAAAAATCAAAAGAAAAAACATTGCCCTATTTTGAAGAGTCACCTTAGAGGCAGTGTGCTTTTGATAGGGAAATGTCTAACAAATGTTTATCTTTCAGACTATTAGGGCAAAGTTCCCAGATAATTCTGTGGAAATCGTACAGAGCTACAGTGAAATGAATTACTGCAGATGTGGTATCCTGGTTGATAATTTAGTAAAAAATGTAGTTATTCTTTTCCAGTTTTAGTAAGTAAAAGGAAATAAATGGAGGGAGAGGGGTGGGGTGTAAGACCATGTCACCACAATTGAGATATTCATGAATATAGTCTCTTAAATATTTATTGTAACTGCAAAAAGAAAAAAACTTTCAGCAAAAAAATTAAACAAACAAAATCCACTTGGTATACAGAAGTCACACACAAAAAGAATATCCAATGGAATACACATGGTTGCTACATCAGAACAGAATTAAACTCTCCATGTGGATAAAACTTGTACTGAACATTCAGATGAGCTTCCATGGATTTATGGAGAAAATTCACAAAATTTATCACCCAGCAGCATTTTAGCTAACCTATTTTTTAAAACCACAGTAGCTATATTGCAGTAAGAGTCGGGGGAGAAGGCACAGATTGAGTCTCACCCCCTCACAAAGGTATCCTAAACATGTACTTCAATTTTTCTTCAAAAACAGTTCAGCAAACACGTTGGTTTGAGAGAACCAGAACAGCTTCATGTTATCAAGGAAAGCATTTATTTTCGTGCATGTAATCACATGTCTGTGAGGAATTATAAAAAAGCTAGGTAAAATTATCTGCCAGCCCTTGAACTGTCAGGTCACTTAACAATAAAAAGTTTAGGGAGTCCTGTAGCAGGCAGTACATTTACATTTTAGTGGCACCTCATATTCTGACTCTTACTTTGTTGCTCAGCAACAACGATGATAAGAATTTCCTTCTTCTATTAAGCAATACCAAATTTCTATCTACATACATTTTCATTTCACTCTGGTCTATGTAATTTTGCAGAAGTTTTAATGGCATTAGGTACAAAAAACGGTTTTTAAGGACTTTTCAGGTCATTGCAAGTACTATCATGTGCTACTTAATGCAATTTGGCTGCTTTGCTTTCTCAGAGAATGTATTTGATGACATCAGAAAGGAAACCCATGATACCGGTTTCCATTAGGCCTTAGAATTTCATTATTTTCCAGATCAAACAAATTAAAAAAAAAAAAACAAAACAAGGCAACAAAAAACCATAACTTATTCAACCTCATAAATTTTCACGAAAATGCATCAAATAAAATTAAAAATCTACTTATGTACCTTTTAGCATGGCACTAATGAATATACAGTTTATAGGAAAATTGCCTGGCAAAACCAATTCCCCAGCTCTTCTGCATGGCCCAGATTCAGTGGCCTGTGTCTGTTTAGTAAATTCCTAATGCAGATGACACATGCCTTTGAAGCTGGAGATTTAGCAAAAATTAACAGAACGAGCTTTTCTGCAGGCTCTATGGGCACAGCTGGGAGCCCATGGCAGATCAGTGATTCAGGGTTTCAGGTCCCAAATATACCCAAGGGTGTTGACCAATTAGGTCAACTATGCTCTGCTGCTGACTGTGACCTTGAAGCTGTTTGCAAACATGTTAAACCAGGGCACCAACCAGTCTGCCAAGTCATCTGCGAGAATATTTGGTACCCCTATTTATTATTTCAGGTAAGTATTATGAGTTAACTGTATCAGATTAAAGAAAACACGTCCACATGATATTATGCAAAAGAGGCAGACAGAGCATGTAACTGATTCTTTAAGAATAAATAATTAACTCACCATAAATGCTGAGCTCCAAGAGGTTCTTTTAATGCTTCTAGAGAACGTGCTTTAAAAAATATAGTCAGACAGTTTATAAATGGTGTAAAGCATTTTCTGACAGAAGGCCTGTCCCACTAGTGTTGGTGTAACATGACAATTCTCAAAAAAGGATACTCAGAACTCTAAAAGTAAAATTGACATGCACTTGCTATAAACATACAAATATCTGTAACCATAGTCTCATATATGAAAAATAGCTTAAGTTACTTAAGAATATTCTTACACTACACTGGTAAAGTGTTTACTATATAATATTTCTACAAGACGTGTACATTTACTAAAAATCTTAAGCCACATAGTCATCATCAACAGGTTATCACACATACATGATGCTTCTCCCTTTCACACAAGTTTATATACACTGAGTAAATAATTAAATATTGCACTTATTGGCCCATGATTCCTCAGTCTTGAGGTATTCAAAAATAGAAAAAATATCTATTTTTATAACATTTTTTTCATGCAACATGTAAGACATTTGAAATACACGAATGCTAGGATATAGGTTACACATTGTGATGGTCCAACTGAGTCACAACACATCTGACATTACTGACAAAATACCAAACAGGAGTTACAGCACAAACATTTCATATATCACTAGTTGCAGGTACATGTCAGAATTACTTGAGGAAATTTATCACCAGAAGTGGTAAACAATGTCTATCTAACTTTCATATTTGTGTTTTATATGTGAACGTGAAGTTGTGGGAAAATCAGGACTTTTGCTTCCCTCCCAGATCAGATAACAAGTACCTTATCGTACAGATGACAAGCCATCTACCTCTGCTGCAACCATGGTTAATAAGCCTATGGTCTTCAAATGGTAACACATTTCATTTCCAGCAGTAATGACAATTTAAGGATAAATTTGGGAAAAATAGCATTGAATATATGAATGAGTATCAAAGATCTACTGCTGTATATATGTGCATATAATATGTGTGTAGCCACAAATTCTTCACTGAACACCCATGGATAAACAAAAAAAGCAAAAAACAAACAAAAAAAACAAAAACAAAAACAAAAACAAAAGCTTAATTGGCAAAGGTGAGCTACATTTACCCCTAAATAAAACTGGTAGAGTTCATTCAAATAATTGAAATATGTTGCCTTTTTAAATGAGACAGGACAAGTGAGCAGCCTTGGAGAATCTGGAGTCAGAATGTATGGATCAATGGTGCAAATTAACATAACTTATTTACCTGTTGGTATAGGTGAAGATATATTGCTAAACCCCCTGAAGATGCATCTATGAGGCTTCAAACTCATGATCTCACATTGCTAAATCTGTCACGCTAAAGAACAACTAGGCTCATACATTGTGAGTCTATATGAAACAGTCCAAGAAGGAATCGATCTATCAGAACTGAAATTTAATTAATGCCTGTAAAAATGTAAATAATAAAACTTACTTCTCTAAAAACAAATATAGAAGACAGTAGCTTTGGAGAGGTGGAATTTGTAAAGGGATTTCTCTTGGAATACAATTGCAACATCATTTGTCTGCTCTGAAGAAATAGATGCATAACAACCAACTGTAGAATTTTTTGTTTCTTTTTTTCCCTAAAAATGGTAAATTTAATGCATTCTCAAAGCTGGGATTAAACTCCAGCAAATTTTGTGCATCCTGAAATAGCACTTCATTCCTAAAATAAATAAGATTAAGATGGTACAGCTGAGCTGAGCAGACTGGGAAAAAAATTAATCTTTCAGACTGGTGCTCTGGAAAAGGCCACATAGATATAGTTGGTCAGGTAATTTCTCTAGGCGCTGCATTAAGTATAAGCACAAAGGAACAAACAATTCCAGTTAACAGTCACTTACATAGCTGTTCAGAAAGAGTATTTTTTGACAGAAAATTAGGCTAGTTCATATTTATTTAAAACACCAAATGAACAAGTCTAAGTAAACTAACCACCACTGCCAAAAATAACAGACACAGAATTAAGTCAGTTGCACTTGTAACTTGTGAACATGAACTCTTAAAAGAATCAAAAAATGCATCTGAATGTTCAACCCAGTAGGGCTGGCTAGCTTTTTGGCAGTTTGGTGCCAGAGGCACCACAGGAACCAGTCAATCCCCATGTTCCTGGGTGCTCCCAAGGTATTTTCTGACCAGTAGCTTGAAGGTACAGAAAGCAGCACATTGTTAGAGCATGATAAGGCTGGTGCATGGCCCATGCACAGGATTACCCTGCTGCTATAAACTTTAGTCTAGATCATAACTCGGAAAAAGGATTGTGTAGTATTAGGTATCTATGGCTGGACCAATTATTTGTTGTGACATTCAGTCTTATTTCTATGTTGAAAGTACAACAAATTAATGCAAGGTGTGCAAGAACTTTTTCACTAATATTTGTGATGAGGCCGAAAGTAGTTTTGTTTCTGCTATCCCAGTTTTCATCTGAGCCCTCCCCTCTTCCATCACAAAATATAGTGCTTTGTAGCCTGGTACTTGAAGGAATTGTGCCACTCCACTGGATAGATCAGGGATATAACCAAAAGCTGCTTGTCTCCTCCAGGAACTCATAATCAGTGACTACTAGATATATGTGAAGAACAAAGCATTGTTTAAATTTAGGCCCTTGATCAAGTTGTGACAGGTTCTTCAAAAATGTTCAGCCTGCCTGAATTTAAGAAAAATGCAGTTCTATCCTATAAGTCAAGAGGAACTGAACCACATTGACACAGGCTGCTGTTGGATAATCTATCCCATAGGCGACCAAGGAACAATTTTACATATAATGAAAATTCTAACACTGCTAGTCCCCTCAGAATTCTTGGAATATTTGAGGAATGCTTGGTAAGTTACTACTCAAAAGCTTTTCTGTCCTTACTGTTTCTCTACAAAAGGCAAGTTCTAGTCGAGAGAGGTACTGAGATCATGATGCTCATGATCTAAATGTGACCAACTTTATAGGAGAAAACTCAATATTGCCATGAAGCATGTGACTGCAAAAGCCAACCTGTGATGGAATATCAAAGCCTACTTTTCCGACAGTAGGTAACCCAGTTTGAAAAGAAAAATTCTGCTTGAACTTCCACATATTTTCAATTTCAGTAAAAGTAAGGATAGGATAAATTTTGTTTGATGGGACAACAGCAGGTCATCCTTTCCAACCTTCTACTCAAAACAGTGTCAACTGAGAGGGTCGAGTGGCTTTCCTAGGGTTTTAGTCTTATCTTGAAAAGTGCCAAATATTTTATTTGAACATTTAAAAAATTAATCTAACTCTGAACTCCATGACAACATCTGAGTGCTAGTTGAGAAGATTTTAGATACAGACTCATTCTCTGCTGCTGTATTTCAGATAAGCTTTTTCCTTTTAACATGCATTTAGCACTCTAAGGAGCAACACCATTCTGACAGCTGCTTGCTCCAGCCACCCCATCTCATGCAGAAGGCCAAATATGTGTGGAGGCCTAGCAAGTTAGTTGCCTCAAAAAATTGAAGCAGGGGCTCTCTTTAGACTTTACAGTTACTCTTCTTCTTAGATTTCTGATGCAAAATGAAAAGAAATTAATTAATCCCATTTAAGTAAATAACTTTTTATCTACCACTCAATTTGTTGAAAAAGATATATGCTAATAATGTATTTCTACCACCAAGTCTAAATAGTAATAACCAGGCAGAGAGGGTCTTAAATTCATTGCAATGGAATACAAGCAAAGTGTGACTGCAGCAAGGGACACCTTGAAGTCTTTTTTCCCTATTTCACTGTGCATAGGATATGACAATTTCACATCAAACATCTCAGAGCAAATCTGGAAGAATTCTTGCAGTTTTTGCCAAGCTGCATCATTCAGGATATGCCCAAGATCCTTGACAATGTGATTATGTCTCTCCCCTCCTTGCCTCATATGGCTCAGACTAATAATACAACCTAATATTTGTCTAAAGAACTTGAGAGCTGAAGCTGAACTCTATCTCAAGGTTTTCCTGCTTCTTCTTCTTGACCTGGATTTGCTGACATAACAAGAAACACATGGAAAACTGCCCAGCAGACATCTCAAATGAAACTTGCTCAGCTTTGTACCACTTCTGTTTTTTCCAATCAGCTGACACCTATGGGGTGAAAATGTAGTAGTGAAAATCTCTCAGCATACTAAGCAACACGCTGTCTTAAATGGGGAGGGGAAAAAAAACACCCTAGAAAGAGAAAAGAACATGGTTTGGATAGCACATATCTCTTCCTCCTGGCTGGTTCTCCACTCTAAAATGGAGGTGCTTTCCCTTCATGGAGGTAAATTACTCTCCATGTATACTAGGGGGAAAACTACTTAAATAAACTAACTTACAAGACAGACATAGTTTAAAGACCCAGAATGAAGACAGCATTGATTAATTTAACCTAGGCAGCCCAGTTAGAACCCTCCTGGTATATCCTCTTTACATGTGTCTATGTGCTTGTTTGGAAGCAACTTTTATTGTGTCAAAGTGTATTTAGCTTATTTAATCAATTTTTAAAAGGAGGCCATTTTCTCTTAGTGTGTATCAGGAGTTACATAAGTTACTGTCAAAAACATAAACTGTAAAGAAGGATTTCTTTGTAGTTGTGCGTCATTCAATATATTATGTGTTACTTCCTTTTATTTTATTTTTCAAATTTTTCCCATTGCTGACAGTTTACAAAATTTCAGCCTTGTCTTCAATTATATCTAATTGGAAAAATAAAATAATCAGGGCTTCTTCAGTTATGCTGTTCAGGTAAAAAAAAGTCACTATGATGCAAGTAAAGCAGTTGTACAAAGTACTTCAGGACACTGATTTAAGAAACTTCCACCAATTACTAGAGGAGTAAAAACTGTAAAATATAACTATTTTAACACTTTACCATAAAAGAATTTGTGTACTTTATTCAACTATCTTCATGTTTTTTTTGCTGATATTTTCAATGTATTCAGCCTAAGATTAGAAATGTTGACAGTTTTATTTCTCCTAAAGTTTAAAAATCCTAAATCTCTTGCCAAAATAAATGGGAAAATAAATCAGGTCAAACTTCAGTTCACTGACACCATCAGCATTTCTCCAATAGGTCTGAGTAAAATGAAGACATTTATAGACACTGTGCAGGTAGCTGTCTCAGTGACTGAATGGGAGATGAAATTTCTGAAAACTGAAGCATGCAGGTTTGACAGCAATGTGACAAGGCAGCTTTTGGCTATGAACAACCAAACACAATGGATTTGGCTCTGTCAAACATAATATAGGACTGTGTGGTTAATTTCTCATGCAGGCAAACATAGAAAGAGCTAACTAGCCTTCTACAGGGGTAGGTAAGACTGGGATCTCCATAATGATGGAATGAGAAATTAAGTCCAGTTTCAGAAAATTATTAATTAGACATGCAGCTCCTATCTAAAAGTACTCTAGTTGTCCAAACAGGATGAAGTACCTAATATCTCTGAGACTCTGGAATGTATATACACATCCAGTTGGAAATTGTTGATGAACAGTTGTAAATTTTGATGGCTTTAGGTCCAGGACCTAACTTTCTTCTGATTTCTGCAGTTTTCAGTCAGACAGGATGTGTAACATAGTGAGTGTGGATTTTCCAAGGCAATGTGCTCCAGGAAGTGTCCCTAATACAAGTGACCTGACAGAATGAGGGATTTGCTCACTACAATAATACTTCTAAATTCATTTTCAGTCAGGAAAATATACAAGTGGCATCAGGAAGCTAAGTCAAAACATCCTGACCACTACCCTAACAATTCAACTATATAACTTGAAACTGATGAAGCAAGAGACAATTATAGGCAAACATGGTCTGAGGACATGGCACCAGCTGAAGTGTGACATAAAACAGTAAAAAGAAAATAGAAATTAATATACACGCTGCATGCAAAAGCCAGGTTCTAAATATGGATCATCCTTTCAGACTAAAAACTGGTCTATCCCCATATGCACAGTCAAACAGCTGATGTAAAACAAGACTGTTCTCCCAAATAAATTAATAAGACAGTATAAATAAAGGCATATAAACCATTCATAAATACTCTGTTGGCAATAGAACACACTGGAGCTGCCTTTGCTGATAGCTGCATTAGCAGCTGCAGTTGGACTGCTGTGGAGGAGGGGTGTCCTTTAGCTGTGTGTTCTGGTTGCTGGCAGCAATGGTGGGATTCATCTCCAGACTTTCTGACATTTTGTCACAGATGATATCCACAAGCCGCTCAAATGTCTGCTTGACATTAATGTTTTCCTTGGCACTTGTTTCAAAAAATTCAAATCCTAAGAAAATAAAGAACACGTTTATATTCTAGGCATATTCCGGTATCTCAAATAAACGTACAAACTTCTCTTGAGCAAGAGACACTCAGAAAGGAAACACGTGAGAGCACACATGTGAAAGAAGAGCAGTTAAAATTGTAACACAATCAGAGTAAGTACACTAGTGCTACTGGCTTTATACAAGGCTGGATGAAGTCAGGACCACTCCAAACATATTCCCTTAGAAAAATTCTACTTTAGCACAGTTTAATCTAAAACTTGATACCTGTTTCACAAAATTATTTTAGGAAAACCTTATATGTACAGCCATTGGGAACAAGTAATCTGCTGCTCCATCTCTAACTATTATGTTACTCTGAGCATTATTCAGTTGGAAACAGCCGTCTCCATTGTGTTATTAAGGTGGTGCCAAAATACAAAGTAACACTTGGAAAAGTACAGGCAAAAACCAAGCAAGACAATAAAATACTTTTGTAATTTGGTAGTAACTAAAGTTAGATGTGAATCTATGGGACCAAAGAGATCCCCAACTCCACAAACAGAACAAATAAAAAAAGGAAAAATAAAAAACCCAAACAGAAATGCATGTAATGAAGAAAACATTTAAATTAATTTGTGCAGAAGGACTTTTCACCTATTCATTCCAAATGATTAGCCTAAAGGCAAAAACTAGAGCTATCCTTAGCTCTTAAGGGACACTGGAAGTTTTTATAGAGCAGATACAGCTGTTCTAAGCCCTCCAGAGACAGTTTTCCTAAGTTCTCTTCTCTGCCCCCATTTGTACCACATCTGACCTCCCACATGTGCCTCATTTCTCTAGGCCAGGTTTAGAGCTTGGTAGTCCGCCTGCAAACTAGAAATATGCTGCCAGTGCTGAGTCTTCCCACATGCTTGTTTCCTTTGCAAAGCATTTGTGTTCTTTAATTTATTGTTTTCTAGGACTTTTCCCACATTCTTCCCAAGTTAGGACATTGCTCGCCCATTCCCTTATAATTCACAACTTTCTTCCATTCCTGTCTTTCACTACCTATGGGTTCTATATTGAAGTGGTTTATAGAATATCTGATTCACTGGTAGCTTTACGGAAGCCTTTGCACAGTCTGGCTTACCCTTTGTGTAACTATTTTGATTTCTTCTGATTAAATCTGAATATTAATGTGCACTTACCACTGTCTTTAAGCATAAGAAAAATCCCTGTCAGAAAATTTCAATTACTTGAAATTTCTGGCAGGACAGAAAACAAATCTTTGTGGGTCTGGTGATTTGGTTTGATTTTTTTAATGTTTTGTTTTATTCTGTTTTGATAGGCCATATGAAATTTAAATGCAAGTACTTTGGTCACATTAGTAATATGTATTCAGTATGTCATCTAAAGATAATGTAATCTACACATTCAGTCCTAAAAGTGTTGTCCATGCAGCTTTTGCAATTTGAATTCTACCATAGAATTACTACAGATAATTATATTTATCTTGACATGATAACCCAGCAAGAAGTAATAAGCAAACTCAACTCTGCTCTGAATTCTTTTTGTATTTTTAATTTATGTAAGGTGCTGGACTGAAGTGCCATGAAGTACTAAAATGTTTAAAGGTATAGGAGATAAGCAGTGTTCGTAGGCAGATTAGGTAACAAAAGCTACAAATATTGTACAGGGTTTTATTTGGTCAAAAGACTTCTGTTAGCATCAGGAAGAAGTGTAACGGTAAGCTCATCAGGGAATACATTCTCATAAAAACTTTTCCATTCCACATTTCTCTGTAAAGCAAGAAAACTGTGAATAATAAAAGACCTTTTACAAAAATTACATACACGGATATAGTTTTAATCTATAAGATATTGCTTTAGTTTAGCTTTGCTCGTACATTTCCTTTGCTCTAAACTAGAAGAAAAATGAGGAAAGGCAGTGTACCATCTGTACAAAGCTGGTGGCTTTGGCCCTCCTGCAGAGCTCCATGCAGGAGAAAGCTGTTCAGATCATTTGAGAGCTGCCTGGGGAAAGTAAGATCCTCTACAATTTCAGTAAGCTGTGTTGAAAACCAGATGCAGCTCTAGTCCAGCAATGCAGTCAAGAATCTTCCACAACTTAGTGTCTTCTCCACAGGAAGGAGGAGGAAAGCAGCTGTTCCACAGAGGAACATACAGAATCATAGGGCAGAAGGGTTGAGTAACAATGAGGGAATGGTGCACCAAAGCTTTGAAGATGATAGGAAGAACACTGAATCTAAAGAACATTTAGGAAGAGAACAGTTTTTACAGTTATAAAGATGAGCATATCAGATGACCATGAAATAACAGATATGTTATCTAGGTAAGAGAACTAGATAGAGAAAAGCAGAAAAGGAAAAAAAAAAGAGTCACAGAGAATCCCTCTTTCCCTACTACTGACTCAAAAGAAAGCTCGCAAGGTCTTGGCGGCTCCTACAAAGAACTGCAGCAGCAGAGCTAGATAGGGCACTGGATGTTTCTGTTGTTCACCTGGTGATCTACAATGCACACAGAACATTTAGATGGTTTTCCTGAATCATATACACAGCCAGAATTACTGACTTTGTACGCTCTCCGCCTCACATGTGTGCTGGCTCTGTAGAGGTTCCTTCATAACTGCTCATTAACACTTGTTTATGTCTGCTTTCAAAACACAGGAAATAAAAAAGCCCAGAAAGCAGAGTCATATGCAAACAGAAGAACATTCTGCACCCTCTCATCTTCCTGAGAAAACATGACATCAAGAGCACAGACTAGACAGCAAATTTTAAGAACATTTCCACAGACAATACAGACAAGATCTATGCTGATGTTTCAAAAGTTAAGCAGGAGGCATTTTGGCTTCAGAGTGTTTTTCTGCAATAAAGAGTGTTCAATTTATCACCTCGATGTTATGTTTTACAGATGTCCACAAGGACATGTTCCCTCAAAAACTATCCTTTTTAACTTTCATGAAGACAAGCTTGAGCTGTGGTCCTTAGTGCTGCTTTTGTCAGTATCTTGTTCAATCCAGAACTGTGAGGAGTAATAGGAGACTACAACATCACAGCAAGAAATGGCTGCAGCAAGCTGCTCCCTCGGTAAGAGCAGGATGTAAAGGCAACCTTCAGGAAGTCATTGGAATTAATAATTTAACAATATCTTTGTATATAAAGGAGAGGAGTTAATAAGGCCTTATTTTTTTAAAATTGCATCCTGTGGGTAGTTCTGAGGGGGCACTGGCAGGCACTTACCTTCTTGTCTGATATGAATAGTATCTAATAAGTTTTGGATTCACATTACAGGCTGTCAGTCAAGGCAACTACAAGACCTTTCGCCTCTGCTCAGATGTCCACTTCCTCAGAACTGTCAATATTTTTTAGTCAAAGAGAGAAAGGACATACATGGCATGACCGCAAAGGTCATCTCTCCTAGGAAACTGGGCTGAAAGTAGCTGGAGACCACTGCTGTTCTTCAAAGTATCTCCTACATCAGCAACTATCTGGTTATGGCAGCAGTTCTGGTTTGCTGTGCTTTACTCTCTAGATCAATAGGATAGAATCTCTGCTGTGCTAACAAGCCCAAGTGCTGGACTATGATCAGAAAATTATGAAAACAGCACTGAGCCTCAGAACAGGACTCTGCTAATATATCTCAGTGAAGAGCGGTGCTTTATCACCATTCAAGATAGGGAATTAAAAGGAAGATAAACATTATTAATAGAAATGCTAAGGTATGTATCCAGTCTTTAGGGTGGCTAAATTTATCAACAACAAAGCTAAAGGGGGACTGTCAGCTGTGGCAGAATGAGGAGACCCAAGGAACTGTTACTGGTCATACTCTAGCTAACATCTCATTTTCCAGTCTTTTGGAAGAGAAACTTTAATATAAATTCCAGTTGTATTGATTTTGATTGTCATTTCCAGATACCTTTTAAATTAAGGCATTTGGGTAATAAATTAGAGTTCTGGCAAAGATTTTTTGTGTGTGTTTACAGAAGACATGGGCTGAGTAAACCCTTGCTCCTCATTGTTATTAAATAACTTTGCTGTAATGCATATCCCAGTATGTGAAAGCAACAGCAGGTTGGCTTTCCTCTCAGTAAAAGAACATCCTGGGGACAGGAGCCTGTAATTGCTCTGCCAATATCCTGTCTGGGGTGTAGCTAAACAGAAGATGCATTTGTCAGTGCTGTCAGTCTGTCTCTTTCCCCTGGAACTAACATTTGCCCATTAAAAACAGCTAAAAAACAGTGAAGGATGGAAGTTTGAACTGGCATATTGCAGCACAACCCAATTATTTTAATTTTTAATGCAAATTTAGATTCAGCCATCTGTCCATGTTCTCTAAGCTGTGGGTGACCCTGCCTTGTGCACCACAGTCTCCAGTCAGCCACAGAGGCAAAACAGAACTTGCTGCTCTAGCAAACTGTGTGCTGAGGTGTCAGTTCCCACTTGGTTCCTGATTTACATGCCAAAATTACAGCACTAAAAATGTCTCTTCACTTCAGTGCCTAAACTCACAGCTGCCTAGCACAGCACATCCACAGATGCCTAATGTACTTTTTACCCTGCAGGGCTCATACCCCTGGCAGGTGAAGGTGCACCCCAGCCCTGATGCTGAGGAACTGCTGCCTTGTGCCCCAGCCCTGGAAGGATTCAGAAGAAGAGGGGGGAAGGGAAGGGAAGGGAAGGGAAGGGAAGGGAAGGGAAGGGAAGGGAAGGGAAGGGAAGGGAAGGGAAGGGAAGGGAAGGGAAGGGAAGGGAAGGGAAGGGAAGGGAAGGGAAGGGAAGGGAAGGGAAGGGAAGGGAAGGAAGGGAAGGGAAGGGAAGGGAAGGGAAGGGAAGGGAAGGGAAGGGAAGGGAAGGGAAGGGAAGGGAAGGGAAGGGAAGGGAAGGGAAGGGAAGGGAAGGAAGGGAAGGGAAGGGAAGGGAAGGGAAGGGAAGGGAAGGGAAGGGAAGGGAAGGGAAGGGAAGGGAAGGGAAGGGAAGGGAAGGGAAGGGAAGGGAAGGGAAGGGAAGGGAAGGGAAGGGAAGGGAAGGGAAGGGAAGGGAAGGGAAGGGAAGGGAAGGGAAGGGAAGGGAAGGGAAGGGAAGGAAGGGAAGGGAAGGGAAGGGAAGGGAAGGGAAGGGAAGGGAAGGGAAGGGAAGGGAAGGGAAGGGAAGGGAAGGAAGGGAAGGGAAGGGAAGGGAAGGGAAGGGAAGGGAAGGGAAGGGAAGGGAAGGGAAGGGAAGGGAAGGGAAGGGAAGGGAAGGGAAGGGAAGGGAAGGGAAGGGAAGGGAAGGGAAGGGAAGGGAAGGGAAGGGAAGGGAAGGGAAGGGAAGGGAAGGGAAGGAAGGGAAGGGAAGGAAGGAAAGGAAAGGAAAGGAAAGGAAAGGAAAGGAAAGGAAAGGAAAGGAAAGGAAAGGAAAGGAAAGGAAAGGAAAGGAAAGGAAAGGAAAGGAAAGGAAAGGAAAGGAAAGGAAAGGAGAAAGAATAAAAAATAATAAAAAAAGAAAAAGTCACCCAAATAAGAAGAGAAAATATGGTTAAAGGTATGTAGTTACACCTGAGGGGTAAAATTACTATCTCTTTGAGTGACAAGCTGTGGAGGGGCACTGAACTCACAGGCACTGCTGACTATGACACACATAATATCCAGAGGCCTTTGCAGGTTCCCTGAATATGGTGTGAGGCTCGGTTTCTGCTCCCCCTTTCAGAAGAGAAGGTGAGAGCTCACCCAGAAAGGGCGTGTTTCATTTTGTTTTCTGACCTTGGATGTTGGCCTCTAGGAGAAAGAGCATGCCAGGATAAATTTAGAAAACAGGCAAGTGCAACCTAGGGCATGTTTAGACACGATGAATGCCCCCAGACATGGTTGATCCTGGATGGCAAAGCATAAGAAGAACCTGAGAAAGCAAATTACACCTAAACATTGAGGTATCTAATTAGCAGGCACAGTAAAAAAGCCCAAATAAATGGAAAAACTGTATGTCAAATTCCATATGCAGCTACCCTTTCCCTGTGCAGTTATTCAGACGTTATTCAAAGGTCTGTGCATACCTCTACCTGCTAATCCTTAGGCTAATCCTTAGGTAGATTACAATATAAATATATCATACAGACTGTGAATAGAAGAAACAAGATATCAAGCCACCTGCGAGTCATTCCTTTTATTTCTCTTCTGATAATTGACACCAAACTTTTATGAATGTATGAGTTTTGCTGAAAGGCATGAGAGCAATATCTCAGAAAACTGTCTGAGAAATTCAGCTGGCAAGAGTGCATGCAATTTGCTCACAAGGAGTTCCTACTCTTGTTTTACTAAAATACTTTAAAACGTGTAAGCGCTGACTATATTTCTAATCACTTCATAGCCAATCCATGTACTAGTCAGAGCAAATATTCCTGAAGACAGAAAATATTATAAGAATTCTATTCCATACCCTTTTTTGATAATAATTAATGAACAAAGTTCTTTAAATGTATTTGCTGTCATTACCAAATCAATACTAACCTTGCATTAATTATTTATTTTCATTGGCTGGTTTGTTACATTTCTACACATTCTTGAAATAATATTTATATGAGGAAAAGTTATGTGACTTTATTTGATCTCATCTATTCTCATTTCATTCTAACTTTAACCTGTAAATGATGCTGTTGTGTTAAATGACCATGAACTGATTTCTGAAATAAACACTTTAAAAAAGTATTGAATAGGATGATAAGGAATGACTAATGTATGTCTTTGCGTCTTTATGCCTGGAACAATTAAATTTTCTGGGAATTACCTTATGGAGAAAAAGGGAATATGACAGAGCTCTCTGAAACCCAGAGAGGTACAGAGCAGGTAACAGCAAACAATTGTACAATGTTTGTAAAAATATAACAGTGAAGAAAAATAAAATGAAACTATAGGGGGGCTAATTCAAAGAAGCACTAGATAACAGATAAACTATGCATATTTAAAGGATGTTGTGGGTGGTATGATTCTATATGTCTTCAAAGACATAATTGTACAAATCCATGGAAAAAATTACAAAAGGCCTATTGAATAGAAATGTATTGCATTCAGTTCTTGAGACCCACAAATATAATTTTCTATGATCAGAGAAAGTATCACTGCATGTTTGCCAGTTCACGTCTTTCACAAAATACCTACAACACTGTTTGTAGCTATGATCCATAGTGATATTGTCAGTGTCATAGTATTAAAAATAAATTAAAAAAAAATCTTCAAAGCAAACAAGACAGATTCTGACCTCATAAAGATTCTGTAATTTTTCTTCAAGGTGAGGTCTGAGTTCCTAGCTATTCCTTCATTCTTTTTGAATATTGAATAGTGCCATGAAAAAGGTGTACATGCAGATGTACCACAGGATACTTGACTAGTTCAGCAGACCTCCTCCACCAGTAATTTGACTTATTTTTGGTTCATTTAAACACTTTGTTTGGGTTACACTTGAGAAATAAGCCAGCACAGAGATTTAAAGAAATTAGTCATTACACCTTGTTAATAAACTTTAAGGCCACACTTTTCAGAGAGGTCAGGAGCCAAAACTAGGCCCCATTTTCCAATAACACTGTTCTCAACAGAACATCATGTTCCCCAAAGAGTTAAATTCCCAGTGCTCTTTTTGACCTTCTGAATATTTGACCACACTTGAGAACAGAGGGTGTCACAGTGTAGTTTTTGTACAGCACTCGTGAATCTTATTGGCTTTTGTCTGTGATCAACATTGTGTTCAAAGAGCCCACAGTTTTAAAATGTCTGGCTGGACACAAAAATCTATATTTTTTTTTTAAAACTTGTCTGTAAGTACTGTTATCAACTTACTGTCAGAGAAAGAAAAGACAGTCCCATGTGTATAAAAACAATGGATGCCCTCCAAACCAGCCAGCAAGGCCAGTGCATCTACTACAGTTAGGTGAAAGTCTTTCTTCTGCTGTTCCTGACATCATCGCACCCAGACTCTGGGCAGATTTAAGAAATTATTGCAGCTGTGCAGGAAACATGTAAACATTTGTGTGTGCAGTCTGACTACAGCAAATTACTAGATCAGGAACACAAGTTATCTAATACAATAATCTGCCCTTGAGATAGCCACAGGATATATATCTGAGAAAAAAAAAAAACCCTGAGTAGATAAATATGGAAATAGAGGATAATCTTCTTCCATGAAGATTGAATTTTAAACCCCAGCAGTTAGAATTTGCTTTAAAGCCTGAAACATGAGTTTTGTTATCTATCTCATTACCCTTTTTTCTTTTTTTCAAACATTGGTTATTACATCTGAGGATTCTTGACTGTAAAACATGAAAAGTTCCTTATTGTCTTGAAAAATTCATGACCTTGGGGATGCCTTGTCAATTCATTGCATTCGTTGGGTTTTTTTTTTTGGTTTTTTTTTTTTGTTTGTTTGTTTGTTTTTTGTTTTTTTTTTTTTTTTAATAAGAATATAGTTCTAGGAATAGAAATTCAGAATTTTTTTTATGTGACTTTAAAAAAAATTCAAAGTTTATAGTGAAAATGTATGGTTGTTGCTAAACATTTCAGCACCTTGCCAAAATTCGTAGTAAGGTATACAGTTAGATTTTTGGGCTCTCTTTGTCCAATGCATACACATTCCTATCTCCTAGTACAATGAGTAAACATTAGAAATAGGAAGAACAGAGATAGAAAAATATATAAAAATATGACAGGTATTTCTGCAAAGATAAATATCCTCTGTTAATGCTTTGGCTGAAAGCAGTTTGAGAAACTCAGTTCTTTACAAGTATTGGTAAGTTTTTTGGATATAGACTTCTTTTAAATATTTCCTGTCATCTTTCAAAGACTAACTTACAGTAATCATTAATGTAATCATTCAAGGAGTTCTTTTTCTTAAGTATGCAACCCTTATTGAAACAGATACAATAGAAAGGTAGGTTATTCTGATGAAATTGTTTACCAGGAAAAGGAATTGTACAAGCAGAAAACAGTATGTTTTTTAAAAATAAGGTCATCAACCTATGAATATACATGACTTAAAAACCACCAGCATGAGATTATATCCCCTATTAAAATATCCTTTCATCTACCTACCGATATAGGAATAGTGACAAGGAGATCTTGGTTACACATATTTTGACCAGACTGAGCTTTTATCACACAGAGTTTTAAAAACATTAACAAATACATGCCTGTAATTTATGATTCCCTGTACATAAATTGACCACCAGCAATGCCAGAGTTTGATTTACACACCTGCTGAGCTTACTCTCCAGAGATCAGGAAACTTGAAGGAAAAAAGAGGCTGGGTAGATGTATTACAGTGATGCTCTGGAGATTTTTCATTAAAGTTTGGCCAGTGTCACTTCAAAAACATTTCATGGTATGAAAGGATAACACTGTTGTGTAGAAACAGAAACAGCAAAGGTGCTCACAGCTTGGCAATTTTCTGTGTGTATAGAATTTGCTTCCCAGAGGGAGACTTTATGAAACAAGTTCACATCTACAGTTCTGTGAATGTACAGTAGATCAGTGGATGAAGTGTTAGCAGTGGGAGTTGGACAGCAGCATATTTCTGTTCTGAATTATTGGTATTGATAATCATAACCCAAATCTACTCAAGTTGCAAAAAGGTCTAGTAAGCTTTTTCTGCAACATCACCTTTCCTCATTTAGTTTTTTTTTAATTTTAATTTTCTTTTTCTTTTTCTTTTCCCTTTTCCTTTGTTTTTTGGTTTTGGTTTGGGTTTTTGTTTTTGTTTTTTTTAGAGGACAGGGCTTGGGATTTTTAAATTTACTTGTTCCCTTGCTCCATATCAAAAAGGCTGTAGAAATAAAAGAGAAGCAGTGTGTGACTGTTCCTTTACAATGAATGTGTCATGAACATGTATTTGCAAGTATTGTAGCAATAAATGAAATTAATTTGTTCATTCTCACAAGCAATCAGGAAGCTTTTGTTGAGTCATTTCTTACCAAGCTGCTCCGCTAAATGTTTTCCCCTCTCAGTGAAGATTACCCGTTCATCCTCCATGTCACATTTGTTGCCAACCAAAATAACCTGGGCATTATCCCAAGAGTATGTTTTGATTTGAGTTGACCTTAAAAGAGAAAAGGAGAGAGAGGAGTCAAAGCAAAACAAATTCCCCATTAATTTCAAACAGAGTTGCAAAAAGAAGAAAGAGACAATGCCGATTTTGACAACTAGGGCAACGTGATTCTCATTAATTACAGATTTCAAATAAGCTAAGGATTATCTGTCAGATGTTACTATTACAAAGATAGTATCAACACAGGTTTTACTTTTGCTTGCTAAAAATTATATTTTCTCCTGCCATCAATATTCTTCCTTTACTTTTAGAAAGAAGAGATGATACTTTCTCCCATTTTCACATTTTAATACAAACTTTATAATCTAAAAACAGAGCTCTGAAAGAAAATCATTACTTAATTAATTAATTAATGATTACAAGTATTAATTTCTTATCATTTACTTTTGAGATCAGGATGTAAATTTAACAGCAAAACCAAAAATTTCAGAGATAGGCTCTCTTCTGTTGTTTCTCTCCAGCACATTCCTCTGCAGGTCTTTTATCTACCAGAAGGTCAGCAACACTTACATTGTGCATTAAACCATGGGCAGGGATTGAGTTTGAACTCTGATTTACCTTCCATTAAAATTATAGAAGCATTAACCATGACTGCAGCTGAATGGAGGTATCTGAGGTCTAAAACACCATAGGGACCATGAGTGCTGGTGGTGAAACAGCTAACAGTGCTTTCTTTGAATGTGAGCAGATAATGGGTGACTTGGAACCATACTCATCAGTTTCTGCCTGCCACCATTCTGCTGTTACCCATATCTGTTCTGTAGTAAGAAAACTCCATGGCTGTTTCCAGGCTCAGCCAAGAGTGATTCTGCTGGTTACCACCTTCTGTCTGGGAGCAGTAGGTGCTCTTGAAGGTAACACAGGATGCAGGAAATTTACTCCAAGCACTTACACTTTGTCTTGGTCTTGTGACTACATCTGGCTCTAGGCTCTAAGTTTTTGGTGGAATCAGTGATCAATGGTGAGAGAAAAAGATAGAGAGCGTACTTCTTTCTCCCAGCCTGTCCCACACCATTTCCTCCCTCTCTCCCTCCCTCCCTTCTTGGACAATACAAGAGTGCTTGGGAAAATGGCAAGAGAACAGAAACTAATTTCTGTAACTACATGTTTATGAGAGGACACCCTGGAAATGGATCCTGTGGCATATGATGGACTTTTTTTCTCAAAGTCTCTTTGACAAAAGATGAAATAGCTTCAAAAGCCTGTCACCTAAATGTCTTGGAAGCTGGTCTGCATAGGTACTTCACGGGTACACTCACTAGTGACCCCTTCTCATAACACAGCCATCATCCCTACTCATTGAGACCCGTGTCTGCAAAGTCTTACATTCAAAAAAAATGATCTAGTCTGACAACTGATTCTAGCAAAAGACAGAAAATGGGTCACATCTCCCCCGCTGGCTTTGCTTACTCCAAAACCAGAGGTATGGCCATGGGCAAAATCTGCTATAGCTATCACTGCGACCCTGGGTACAACACCATTGTCTACAGGTTCCATGCATGAGTCAAAAAAACCTCTAGGCCACGTCTGATGGCTTTGCAGTGACAGGCAGAGAAATTTAAAGGGAAGGATCACTGCTTTTAAGAATGTTTCACTTTATCACAGTGACCAAAAAGAAGCTGGAGCAAGTTCCAGACGTTTTGTGCTACAGATTGTTCCCTTGGACCTAACCTGATCTTTTCTTCAAGAAGTAGATACTGTGCTACTTTAAATCTGTTTTAATAGTAATTTGAGTCAGTGTAAGGTACTGTGACCAAAAAGAAGTCAGACTTCCCCATGCATTTATATTTTACTAAAAATACAATTTCTCAGAAAAAAAGGACAACATGCATTCACTTTGGTGGAAATGTCCTTTTGGAATCACGCTGAGTAGTTAAGCAAAGTAGAATTATTATTGTATTTTTTAACTCAAACTACACGGGTCACCACAGCAACTTTGCAAATACTAGTGCCTCATATGTCAGAGTATATTAGTCCATTAAGGACTCTAGAAGAGCTTAGCTCTGAAGTTATTAGTTGGGAGCCAATTTATTGCCTCTATGTCAGCAGGAAATCAAATACATTTCAAAAGAAAAATATACAGAAAAGATACTAAGCTTTACAGAAGGAATTACTTACATAATCTATAAAGCTGAAATAGAATAAACTGATGAAATACAGCCTGAAGAAATATCATCAGACAACTGTAAAGAGCATTTATTAGCCATGTTTTGCAGAGTTTGCCTAGAGGTCCCTTAATTTTATTGCAGCCAGCTGTGATTTTTTTATTCTACAACTGCAAATATGTGCACTCAAATTCTTCTCATTACTAAAGCAACTTATTTTATTAATAGATTTTTTTAATCTGTCTTGCTTTTGTCTCATCTTCTAGTTATATTTTTTTTTAAATAACAAGAAGATATCTTGTCCATGCAAACAAATCCAAAGGCTTACATTTTGCAAACAACTCAGTAGTTCAAAAATATAACTGACTGAAAATTAGCCAAATTTATTCATGTTCCACACCATATCAGCAGAAGCTTGATTCAAAGTATATAATAGGCTTATTACTGTTATGTTTTCTTTTATACATATAGTTCCACTGTTGGCTTCTGTAGGTTTTGATTCCCACAACTCTCCACCAAAGCCAACACATAGGTCCCTTGAAAAAAAAGATTTTGCTGCTCCTTGATTACATAACCTTTCAAATGACCAAGGCTTCTGATTAATCCAAAACACAAACAAGTGTTCTTTACAAATCCTTGTTAAGATCTTCAGCTTCAGGAAGATTGAAGACATGAAAAGGCAAAGATGGTGTTTACAGTAACTGAAAAAGACAGTTCTTGTTCACTCTCAGTAACCTGGTGTATGTAATAGTAATTGACCCTGTAAATCTTTCCCTTTCTAGTTTTATGGAAGGCAGGCAATCTGCACCATACTTGAATTTTTATAATGTATAGACTCCAGAGGGGCAGATTAATGGAGTAGCGGAATGATCCATTTCTTTCCATGATCAACACCATGCTAGTTCTCCCTGTACTGTATTCTACCAACCCCTGGTCAGAAAAGAGCACTCGCTGAATGCAAACAAAAGCGATGCTATTGGCTTATTTTAAAATAGTGAGATCTTTAAATAACTGCCCAGGCAACAATGGCAGGGGCCTGTGTGTGTTCTTGGTCATCTTGCAGTGAATGATGCACAGTGTGAGAGAGTGGGGTTCAGGAACACACAACCCCAGCTGGCTGAGGCAGCTGCAATGCTGGAAGAAAAGGTAGATAGCACAGAGCAATATGGGGGAGCTGCTCTGATGCTACTGCTGTGGAAACCAGACTGCTAGCATTAGATTAGGTGGCAAAAGTTTATCTGTACATCCAAAAGAAGCACAGAGAGATTATGGCAGGAGAGAGAGCCCAGAGAATATCCTGGCCCTGGCTTCTCTCAGGCCTATTGAAGGAAACATCAGACTATCCAAAGCCTGTGTCCACTAGCCTGGTGGAGCAGGAGTGGGCTAAAGCAGGTTACCAAATTAAGACTCAGAAAAATACCTGGATACCTCATCCAGGTTCCTTCCAAAGTTGTTCCAAGAAAGTCCCAGCCCACTGTCCAGCATGAAACCCATCACTGTAAGTCAACATTGGAGGCTTATGGAGACTGGGATCCAGGGGCAGCTGCTAGTCAGATTGAGTTTATCACCCCTGCTGATGGGAGCCACAATGTGCATGTCTGCACAGATACATATTCTCACGAATGGATGCTGTACATATTCTCATTCTCAGATGCTGCACCGTTTTGGAGGGGAGCAGTGTGTGGATGATGATGCTCTTGGCGTTTGTGGGAGCAATCTGGGTGGTCCTGGGTGTTGTTGTCTGCAATGTGTCTGTATATGGTTATGTGTATATACATATATATTTGTACCTTTGTGAGTTATGTGCACAGGACCTGCTGGGAATAGATCTTCAACCTCACTACTGGTTGGATCTTGGGTATGGAGCTGCAGCAACCTCTCTCTTAGATTCAGCAGAATACATTTTTTCCTGAGTTCAGATTAATTTGTCTATGACTGGGTAAGACTGCATTGTTTCCTGGAGAAACTGCTATGGAAAGCAAACCTGCTGTTTGCCGCACTCAATATATTTCAGGTTGTACCCACTGCTGGCATACCTTGAGTTTACTCTGAATCTCTTCAGATTATCACTTTTAACTAACTCACCTATGTCCAGGCTAAATATTCATATAACCTGGAATAGTCTCTAGTATATTTTCACCCACAGACTGCATAGAAGGCAAGCAAATATATTCACTAAAGACATAGAGTAAATATACAAGGAATATGAACTTTTAGATAGCCTCAGTCTATTCACCACTCTTTGAACCAAGTCCTCCAAGGACACTTGCCTACCATAGAGAGAGGCTGGTAGGCTCTTTTTACAGGCTTTTTAGATTAACTATGTAGTAAGTTACATGCACAGACTGCAAGAGAAACAACCTAATGAAAATGCTCCAGAGGGGGCTATTGTATAATGTTTATTCCAGCAAGTTCAGGAAACATGTTGTACTTCTGATGCTTTGATTTATGAAAGGAGTACTCAATGAACTGGGGTACATCATCTTGCCAGGAAAAGGAAATAAAAAAACCTCAAAGCTATGCAAAAAGCTTCAAACAAACCAAAACCAAATTAAAGAAAGCTCTACCAAACTGGATTTTTTTTTTTTTTTAAGTTACTGTTATGTTGAGTCCACTGATTAATCCTTAAAATTCTTCTAACTACAGCATGGTGACTGCAAAGTCCATCAGCTGAATTATTGGAGGTCATAGTGTAGTGGTGGGATCTCAGGTGGAGCCCAGGTTATCTATTCTTTCTCAGTTTATTTATTTGGTAAGATATATAGTATGAGAGAAGTAACTATGAGTTTGGAGGTGTTTCAAAAGTGTTCAGTGTCCCCAGCTGAACTTCCTGCCTTTATTTGCTAAAGACTGTGCCAAGTGTCCATGCCTCTCTGAGCAGGAAGG